GAAGGATTCAACTCTGATTAATTGTATTCTTACTGAAGAAGAGACATTCATAACTGGGTTAATAGGTTTTTGTTTGTGAGCTTACCATTTCTGCAACACACAGTTCATGCTTCATCCCTGCTTGCTAACAAATATTATTGTCTGCAACAAAGATTTTGCAGGTCTGAAAGAATTTTGCTAGCTTTCAACCATGGAATTCAAAGCTTGACCATTTATTTCCCTTCTCATTTATTTTTATCATGGAGACAAAGAGCTAAGCTTGTGTGTGACATTATGTGCCACAAGGTCCTGGTTTTGTGACAATTGGGGAACTCGGATTAAGATATAGAAATGAGTTCTGGTGAAGAAAAATCCCTCTGGAATATGTTTGATGATGTGAAGACCAGCTCAACAACATCACCTGAAGTGCTTATGGCTGAGATTAATTCTGCTATTGCTCTTGAGTACACTCATGCTACTGCTTACTTAAAATCTCCATCTGCTTCTGTCTCAAAGAACATAAACTCTAATGGAAAGTTGACTTTACAATATGATGCTCAAGTGGCTGATGAATCTTACAAGGAAGGGTTAGCTTCCATGGCTGCAGGGAAACTTGATGAGGCTGTCAACTCATTAAATGTCGCTCTCTCCAAGTGCCCACCTGATAAGACGTCTGCTGTTGCTAAGCTTCAGTCTCTTATTTCTCTTACATCCCAACAGCTTCACAAGTCATCCAATTGATTCAATTGGTACATCCAAGACTTCTTTTATGTGGTGTGGAGTGTTGGATGTACTGATGGCTTTTCGTCAAGACTCCTTTTATGTGGTGTGGAGTCTTGGATGTACTGATGGCTTTTCGTCATACTACCATCATTATTCTTTTCCTCTCTCATTCTGTGTTCAGAATTTTTCTGTCACTATTTTTGTGGTAGTGTTTTTTTTTCATTACATTAGAAAATGATTTGTCATTCCCATAATTGCAGCTTTGGTAGTTTAATACTTTATTTGAAGTACTGGAAAACATGAAACTAAAGTTATCCAACTGCAAGACAGGAAGCACAGAATCGTAGGTATAAATGATCTTCTAGATGTCATTGTTCCCCTCTTTGTCCAATTGAGTTTAGGGCCATAGTGTTGTCTCCGCTTTTTACAGTTGAGTGCAAGCTTTTGTGTTCACCCTCGGGTGCCTTACTATAATGCTGGACTTGAGTGGCATCTTGTTCTAGGGCTTTTCATGGTGTGGAATAGGACATTCTACTTCGACGACACTTTAAACATTTGACCTTGTAAGGACACGATTATAGTAGACGAAGTTCGTAGAAGAAGAATAGAATTCCATTCATATATACATTTATGATTTTCAATTTCTCAATGAACACAAGCAAAACTGTACAAAAACAAGCAAGAAGATAGCAAGAGAATGGATAATCATCCTGAAGTTGCTCATTCATTCAGTATTTCCAAGATTTCACCTCAACGAAGTCAAGAACATAAGAATGAAATTATGATAATGATAACATGCTTAGCCAATCGAACCAACAAATCATTATTCTGAACAGAAAAACCATTAAACAAGCTTGAAACCCCAGTTACGAGAAATTCAGAAGAAAAATTACAGCATCAGGGACTAAAACTTGTTAAGTTTGCTGGGTGTCATTATAACTACTTGAACAGAGTTTCAGTAAACATGCTAGCAGAAGAGCACGAGAACCATACTGGCTAGCAGGAGTAAACTTGCTGGAAACTTCAATGGTTCTGAAATTCTTCCACAAGTCAAAAAGATGAAAAAAAATTTATTGTTTAGCTGTCCAACTATGCTCTCTGTTCAACGTAAGAACCAGAGATTCCAGAAGTCCCAAGGACCGTAACCTGCAATAAGCAAACCGATGATGAGGAAAATAGGAACAAACATACATTTAAATTAGTTGCAGGATTTCAATCACAGTAGTATATGAAGCAATTGAGATTGCTAAAAAATAAATTTGTTTGTTACCTAAAGCAAAAATTAAATTGAAAAATTACATGGAAAACAAAGGCAAAACAATAGGGATGCTAACGCTTCTCACATATAAAACCGTTATCTAGAGATCAAATTTTGAAGTCTTCATCAACTATTACCGAGCAAGTATCCATTCCAAGGCCCAAACATAATAGGTGTATGATTATTCATTCATCTTTGAGAAGAGGCAAAATAGAACTGCATTTACTTAGCCATCTTCAATTGTCATAGCTAAGACATTTGCAACATCTGTAACAAATGTTGCAAATTTTTCCAGCATAGCCATTACCACATAGAGGAATCATACCTTTCCCCACTCAAAATCGAGGCCACTGCATCTCATTTTCAAGTATATCATCTTTGTTCCCAACTCATTCTCCACTTTCTTCCTCAGATAGATCTCCTCCGGCCCAAATGCATCCAAATATGCCGCATATTTATCAAAGATTGTACGCATTGCCTTAACATATTCTTCTGGCATGGGTTTCACATCCTGCCAATTATTAATTATTATACAAGCAGCCAAGAAAAGACAGGAAATATGGAACCATTAATCACATACAATTCATGTTACCTCCCCACTCATCCCAATGGCATCATCCATTTCCATCTTCAGCGACATGAGAATACCTGTAAACTCTTCAACAGCCTCTGCTGCTCGGAAAACATTGGCCAGGGCTTCTTGGGCAATCTTGTCATCAGTATTCTTGGACAATGCCTTTTTTACATCATGGACAACAGCAGGTGGGAGCTCATCCCAGTTTGTGGCCAGTAAGTCCTTGAATGCCCACTCAATTTCAGGGTCTTTTATGACAGGCATATGTGCAACATCTTCGCTGAACAAACGTTTACTGCCAATGCACGTTGCTAAAGGATTCGAGTAACCTATGTGATAGAAAGTATCCAGTGTAAAACTGATTTTGAAGACTACCAGTATGCAAGTAGAAGAATCTTTTCGTTTATGTTCTAGGTAGGCATGAGAACAGCTTATGAAACATAAGGCATAGAGGTGCATTCAATGAAATAGGATACAGGAGCATCAAAAATGATATTTCAATTGTGGCAAATTAAGACAAGGCAGTATCACTTACAAGATGTACAGCATAGCAAATTAATTTACTCCTCTCAGTGTCAACCATAATTCAGAATGTAGTGGTCCATAAGAATACATGATATAATTGGTTCTAAAGGACACACGCTCTGATTTTCCCTTCATAGATACATCTAGTAAGTGAAAAGAAAAAGGGAAAGGGAAACATTTCTCTCCCACAGGCTACATGAGAAAGCCTAATTTCAGAAAAAAATGTAAGATAATTGAGAAATTAAGAAACATTTTAAGTGACCAATTGACAATAAATAAAGGGAAGGGTACGTTTGGTGACTGGGACTTGTCTTGAGCAGATCCAAAGATGATCCATTCGTTTAAGTAATGCAATTCCGGAATAGTAAATTAGAAGGAGGAGTCAAACAATATTAACATGGCCTATTGTGAGTGCTAAAGATCTATTTGATGGCATGTCATTTTTTGGCGTGTCTTTATATCATAGTCGGTAAGAGACTCTAAATAAAGTTTTGTTCCTACTGACTTACATTCCAGTTTTTACTGAGGGTAAAGAGGTGAAATATATGCATCAACCTGACTCATGCTTTAAACTTTTCCCAAGTTTTCAAAATAATTCATGTTAAATCTTTGGAACTTTGCGAAAAACATCTTGGAAACTCAGTGAAAACCATGTTAAATTATAGAAATAAGTAAGCTTTTCTCTTAGGAGCAATTGATTCAAATAATGCATTAACCTGAGCAAACTTAGAAACCAAATGAATACAACGTTTAGTTTTATTAGCCTCAAATTTCCTTACATCTTCTAAATCAGCAATTTTTTTACATGAAGGTCTGAACTTCCAAGTCAAAGTCCACAAGCGTCGTTACAAAGAATATTAGAGCTAACACCACGTTATGTTTTTCGATAAATTATTGCGAGTTCAAATAAGTTAGGAAAAATCAATTAACAATTGGCCAACCCTATCTCCGAGATTCAGATTCTTGACATCAAATGTACGAACAATAGAGTTAATAGAGTCCGAATTAAAATAAATAAAAAATACAGCGGAAACTGAACAAAAGCTCCGCTCTATCACTAAATTCATAAAGTCTGTAACTTCTTTTTTTGGCATACATCGAGCTTCTAATAAAAATAAAAAGATAAATTTTGACAATACACTGACAAAAAAGTACCACATGGTAGACGGTCATGAGAAGAGGTGGGGAGCGCGGGGGAAGAGAAATGGAGGTGGCGGATATGGTGATTGACAACGGAGGTAGCTGCGGCGGCGGAGGAGGAGGGGGAGAAAGCTTGAGATCTTCTGCAAATCGAGCGGCACAACGATCTCATCAATATAATTTTCTCCATGTTCTTTTCTACTTTTTAATCTCTCCACAGCTGAATCGAAATCTCATTTTTCTAGTTTTACTACTTATTTTTCTGAATTGTTTGCACTCATGCACCCTTTCTCGAGGGAAATTGCAGAATTGGTCCTCAAACTATGTCAGTCCCAAACTTTGGAAAAAGCAAGTTCGTCCTTATACTTTCGTTTATGCAACTCATCCTGAATAACGGGACCTAAAAAATGAAACACAGCTGGTCCACCTAAAAGTGAAGCAGCATGAAACACGACTTACTTGATTTAACGACTCTACAATGTCAATTGTCGCATGGATCAAAAGTAAAGTCAAACTGTTTCGAATTAGTTGAAAAGAGTCATTCACAACACAATCGAGTTGGACACTAGTAGAATGAGCGAGATATTTTCGCACAGCTACAACTTCACCATCCTCGGGGGAAAGAAAACCCACCATCCTCCACATCTCCGGAACAATAGCTCATCCCAAATTATCGCTACTTATTGTACCAGCTCCTACAATTCTCCTATTAAAAATGAAAACGAAAGAAAAAGAAAAATGTACTTCAGTGGCATCACAATCCTTAAGCCCTTGTTTGAGCTCATTCTTACAAAAAATCATTTTTTAAAAAATCATTTTCAATCACATTCTTCAATAAAATAATATTATACGTAAATCGATAACTTTTTCTTATTTTAGCCATACATTCTTAAAAAAAAAAGAATTATGCTAGATGTACACAATCATTTACACATTGGATTACACACCCTTCACATGGAGGGGGGCCCACACACAATAAAATATTCGTGCCCCCCCCTCCATGTGAGGGGGGTGTAACCCCGTGTGTAAACCACCGAGTGTACATCTAGCATAATCATAAAAAAAATACTTTTTTAGAATACATTTTTTCTTCAAAATGGAGCTCAAACAACTACTAAGCTATGCTCTTGCAACTCCCATGCGAAAACAAAAGTAAGAGGTCGTGTACGACGTTTTTAGTGATAAAAAGGAATTTTGCTCACTACTTTTAGATTATAAAAGTTTTCATTTTCTGATTATTATTATTATTATTATTATTATTATTATTATTTTGACAAATATTCAATTCTCTCTTCAAATATGTACCAAGTTACCCTTCATTTTTTTTACAAATTTTGATGTATCTATAGAAATTCTTATCAAACTAGGCAAAGTCAACAATAATACTTAAATGGATTAGAGTATCTCCAAAAGACTTTTTAAACATAAAGATCATCTATATTTGAGTCAAACGTCAAATCTTAAAATTATACTTTATGAGACTCTTCAAATTAATATTTTATAATATAAAGTGAATTTGAATATCCAAATTTAGAGAACCAAACCAACTCTCTATAGTTAAATGCATTCAAAATATTTCAATTTTCAATTGAAGAAAATAATATAATAATTTGAAATGAAGTTAGCGAAAAGAAAAGACAGGAAAAATGATAAATATATTTTTAGAATAGTAAAATTAATGTTAAAGAAAACGAGGCTATTGGACTGCTTAAAATTTTTTACTCTCTAAATTATTAAATATGCTCTTTAAAAATATAAAGTTTCTTGAAGATGTTCTTGGACTCTATCTCTTGTTTTTCTACGAACTTTGTATCATCTTGACATTCTACCGATTAAAAAAAATGACGAAACTTTCTAGACTAGAATACCTAAAATACATTTTAATAAAATGTCATAACTTTAAATTATTACTTTTCGCAAAATGAGAAAAATATACCAACTGTAGTGTATACATTACAAAAATTTAGGAATGATATTGCCATTCAGACGACTTTAGATACATCCATACTATCTTAAAAGAAGCAATCCACTATTTACTGTTTATTTGTGAACCTTTTTTTTTAATCTCATTTTATCCATATTCATTCTCCACTATTCATCCAAGCTTTAAGGGTAATATGGACTTCCTTCTACCCATATCTACAATTGTTGACTTTGAATCTCTGCTTGCTACTTGGGCAATTCACCATTTACTGTTTATTTGTGAAGTTTTTTTTAGAGTCAATCCAACGTTTACTTGAATAGTGTTAAAAATAAGTGATTGTAAATTTGGTTAATGTTATTTTTAAATGTATTGTACACTTTTAAA